CTTCCACATACCTTTAGCAGTCTTTAAAGCTACAGGGAAACGTGAAAATTACCCTTGTAGTGGGGATTCCCTCACACTTCAAGGGTTAAATGCTTGTTTTTGTCTTGGATAACATTAAAAAGAAGTTTATCTTGCCATATCTCTCATGAAGGCTTCTCCTCTTCATGGGTCTGGTCCCTGGAAGCTGCTGCTCTTTGGTGCTCCGTGGTTGGTGTGACTGAGGGTTTCATGCAGAAGCAACCCTGCATGTAAGTAAAGATATAGAGTGCGTGCCCACAACCCAGAGCATCACAGGGAAGAGGAAAGTGTGTTAATGCTTCCCTAAATTAAAATCAATAAGAAATAAGAATTTATCCCGTGCAGTTAAAGCAGAGCACCACCTCTTACATTCTTACAGATTTAAATGTTGGCCATATTGGTAGCAATTCCTGATTATAGATTCAGTTTCAAATGATCCTTTCTCAAAATCAATAGTTGACACAGACAAGAAAGAACTTTTAATTTATTTGAATACAATTTAATTTTCTTTCAGGATTGGTTATTCTTTTTTATGTCAATGTTAAAATGTATTGTTTTTTAATGCACATTGTAACCTTTTTTCTCCCAAACGGACATATCTAATCAATATCTAATGGTAATTTTGTGTTTTCTTGCTGCCTTTTTGTTCTTTATAGAGTGCATTGCTTCTTCCTTTTCTCCCATTGTTAACAGAATTGCACATGCCCCTACTCTTTATTTCATCTATTCTCTAATATTCTCTGCAAATTCGTTACAGTATTATTATTTTTTAAATTTTTGCTATTGTTGAAAAGTTCTTTAAAACGTTTCTTCCAATGTTGTATTTGTCCATCATCTCCCATCAGCTGCCTATTCTCCTTTTAATTCATTAAATTTTCACAGAATCTTTTATTAATTTTCTATCTTCTACATCTAATTACTGCCATTTGTAGTCTGTACAATGTAGTGATCCAAATCTCAATCTTCTCATCTACAACTGTACACATCCTAGGTTGTTGACTTTTATTTGTCAGTCTGTCATCATGGGATCTGTCTTTCTTGTTACCCTGATGTGATCCTTTTGTCTTTTTTTGTGTAAAGTTTCCTGGGGGAAAATTGTGCTGCTAATTATCAGCTACAATTGATTGGGAAATCAATGGCTTTGTCATCATTAATATTATGTCTGTGAATGTTCTCAGTTATCCAGGTCATAGTATAGCTAGTAGTAGTTAGTCACATTCAACTGGACTTGTAATATTGTAAGACGGTTCACTACTAATCCAAGCAGCTTCTACTGTTCTACTTAGTGCTAAAAACATATCCCAGCACTCAGTGATTGGATTAAAGTGACTGAGTTACCCTTGTTGGGGTTCCTGACACAGTGGAAAACAAAAGTAAGGGCTTGCAGATCTCAGGCAATACAAATGGTGTATTTACTAGGTATATATACAGATCGGCAACTCACAATTTTTTGCCAAAGAACAATGCATCTCAGGCCATAAAAAGTCAGTCAGTAGCAGCCCCCACATCATGGCCGGTGGCAGGACTGGAGTACAGTTGTTGGTGGTGGCTGTCAGTTCTTTTGACAGGACATGCTCCAAACATCTTAGGGTAAGTAGCAATCTCCTGATTAATATATTTTTGAAATGCATCACCTGGCCCTCCATGTAGGCACCCCAGGGGTGCCATCAGAATACACAATTGGCTGCTTCTCCTGAGATCTTTGGAGTGGGTCCTGTTGGGAGAACTGACAGACACCAACTGTACTCCAGCCCCACCATTGGATATGGCATGTGGGCTACCACCAAATGCCTTCTTCTGGCCTTAAATACGATATTCCTTTGCAAAAGATTATGAGTTACCAATTTGTTTCTAATGTCTAATAAATGTACCATTTTATTGCATGAGATCTGTGTGTTCTTCCCTGTCATTGTTCTAGTACATGGATACCCTCTATTCTCTGGAGCTGCTGGATTTATTATTGTACCTTCGTATTTCTTGTGGATCTGTGTCCCTTATGGATGTACCAGCTGCCAATTTATAATCATTACCAACTGAGGACACTGCCTAAATAATACTGAGTGTTTTCACAATGTTTTTCATTTATGTTCCTGACACTCATTAGAACTCATGTACTACATTTGAATGTGACTACTACTAAATATCATTAATATTAGTCTCTTCATGTAGGCTTTCCTTCAGTTGTATTATTTCCTGTCAATGCTTCCCTATCTCCCAGCCCCCCCACTATCTTAATATCATGCTTTGACTTTCATGTATTTACAGCTACCAATGTGTTGTAAGAATTGTCCTTCACTTTCCCTCCACATGTTCTTGTTAGGCATATAAACACTAATAATAGTAATATTCCTTATTCATCCATTTAGACGTAATATACATATTCTTTTATCTGCCAGCACCAAGTCCAGCACAGCCAGTTTCAATATATTATGCAGCAGGAAGCCTGTCTCTAATTCCTTGCTATTACTACCACTGTATTGTATTCTATAATTACCTGTTTGGAATTGTCCATTCGCCTCCCACTTTATGTCTCGTAGAGTTGTTATTATGAATTTATATTCCTTTACTTTCACTTGTGCAAGGATTTATTTCTAAATTCAGTATATTTAATTTTTTCCAATATTAATAGTTGAAAATGCATTTCCATGCATTAGTCATTATCCTTATTGTAACTGAATTGGAGCATTGGAGCTTTGGAACATTGTATTATTTTCTTTTTACAGGAGAGGGTCATTAGTTCTAAACCCATCGTTAGCAATTATGGGGCACCAATAGTTTTTTTGTCAAGGTTTACTTCCTTAGTGGTGTTGATTTCCCTTCAGTTTTGTATATAGTTGGTCATAATGACTTATAATAGGTAGTGTGGAAAAGTGCTATAATGCATGGTTTTGGGGTGCATGGTGGGCCTATAACTAACTATGATTAATTTCTCTTCTAATGTGAAAAATCGGTTTCCTGTTATGTTTCTCAAAGTTAGATATTACTGCATGTAAATAATATGCAGGTAGTGGCTGGTTTACAATGAATGCATTTATGTCATAAAATAATGTTTGTTTATAAATTTATATATATTTGTAATTGATGAATGACTCAAGGGCTTTCAATTTTTGCAGGTTGAGACCATCTCAGACTCAGACACAGAGGGAAAGAGCAGGAGAGAGTTTCACTCTATAGGGGTACAAGTGGAAGATGACAGAAGGTACTGATATTTCTAATTTCCCAAGGCAGTTAGGTTTTACCTGTACAATTATTGGTAATAGTCCTATTGTGCTACAGGAGATGGAGTTACAGTGAAAAAGCAGAAAAAGACAACATTACATGGGAAGTGTCATATGGTTTCTAAATGCACAAAGCCCAAATGTAGTCTCACACTGTTGAATCTGTTTTATAGTACTGTACCCCATGCATGTTATAATTTGACAGATTTCTGCTAGGAAGATATATTTTATCTCATTGAAAATGATGCCTGTGCTCCCACTGCAGTGCCCTTTGCTGACATACCTGAATAACAGCCACATCCATTAGTGATTAGTGTCCTCACAGAGCTGTGTATTGCAGAGAAAAAGAGAGGGTGTGTTTATCCAAGTCTGTTACATTACAGAATGCACTGGGTCTGTTTCTAGTGCCTACTGAACTGTATAATCATATTTAGGCTTCCTGCACATTTGCTGTAACAGGAAAGAGGAGGTAAGACAGAAAAAAATGGAGGTTGTTTAGTAATTAGTAGTCTGCAACCTATTTTTTTTGACAATTGGGTTTCAACTTTATTCCTTGCAATTCTGTTTTTACACCCTATAGCCTCTCAAAAAATTACTTGTAGCAACAACTACTTTACTACAACTGACCTTCTGAGCCCTGTTATAATAAGTTTATAACATTTATAAACATTGGCAATGGGGCTTCCTTTGAGAAGGTTGAATATGATACAATCTGACACATTTAAGGAACATTCACGTGAAAAGTTGTGCACTGCAGAGCTGTGTGGTGCAAAACAGGCGTTGTCACGAGTTGACATATGTTGCGTTGCAGTTCTTTGAACAGCACATTCAAAATGAATGGGCTGAAATGCACCACAACACATACAAAGGTGGAACACGTTGCATTTCTCCACAGTACAGTGTAATGTAAAAAACACTGTTTTCTATTTTGCTGTGGTGTCTTGCAATGAACATGAATTTTTAAAGTTCATTGGAGTGCAGTTCACAATGAATGGCACCATATCAGTCATATCAGTACATGAAATGTTCAATAGTATGCATTGTGATAAAGAGCGCCTTACCACAACGCAATGGTGGGAATGGGCCCATAAACATACCATTTCTACTCTTAGCATATAGGTTGCTTCAAAATCTCAAGTGCACTTTAGTTTGGCATACTTGTGCAAATTTAATAAAAGAGTTTTGGCTGTCCCAAACAAGTAATGTATTTCTGCTATGAATATAGATGTTGTGTGATGTAGCGCTGCTAGCAGAAAATTGTGAATAATAAATAAACATCCATCCATCAATTGCTGAACAATCACAGTGAGTGAACTCATGACAAAGTGCTCAAAATTACTAAATATAAATATATAATAAATAAATAAAATGTGTAAAGTTCATTTAACCACTTCCCAACCACCCTATAGCAGATGTACTGCTACAGGGCGGCACGGGTGCGCAAAATCACGTATATATATGTGATTTTGCATCTCCAGGTAGGGGGCGCGCGCACTGTCAATCACCGGGTCTTGGCCAGTGATTACTCGTCGACACCCGGTGATTGCCGAGCATCTCCGACAGGGAGGAGAACTGTATGTAAACAATACAGTTCTCCTCCCTGTCAGCTCATGCACACTGCTTTTGATGGCTGCGCGCAGCACAGCCATGCAAAGCAGTGTCATTACAGTGAAGCACAGACACAAGTAAAACAGCACACACTTAACCCTTTGATCGCCCCTCATGTTAACCCCTTCCTGCCCAGTGCTATTAGTACAGATTCAGTGCTTTCTTTTAGCACTGATCACTGTATTGGTGTCACTGGGGATGTCAGTGACACCAAGTCAGTTCCCCCCAGTGTCAGAATGCCTATCGCAGTCCCGCTATAAGTCACTGATTGCCGCTGGTAAAAAACAAAATCCAGTATCTATACCGCCATTTGTAAACGCTAAATATTTCACGTAAACCATTTAATTTACATCTATTGGTATTTTTTTTAGCAGAATACATTTTGGCCTAAATTTATGCCAAAATGTGATTTTTTTAAAAAATTTTTACTGGACATGTTTAATAGCAAAAAGTCAACATATTGTTTTTTTTTCTCAAAATTGTTGGTCTTTTTTTTTATTGCGCAAAAAAATAAAAACACATAGGTGATCAAATACCACCAAAAGAAAGCTCAATTCGTGGGAAAAAAAGGACAAAAGATTTATTTGGGTACAGCATTGCATGACCATGCAAATGTCAGTTAAAGTATCGCAGCGCCATAATGCAAAAAATGGCCTGGTCAGAAAGGGGGGGTAAATCCTCAGAAGGGCAAGTGGTTAATTCCAGATATAGCGTAATAACAGAACACCACAAAATTAGGATCCGTGCTTCACGTGAATTTCATGCATAAATAGTGCTCCCTCTGTGCTCTCAAAACTCTCACCTCTAACGCATGTTAAAAGTGCGTGTTTATTGAAATATCTCCATTGTTGACCACTATCTCCTTCAACCACTAGGGACTGTCCACTCCTCCTCTCCTTGGGTAGATGTTAAGGTAGCCTTAAGGGTTCCACCGTTTAGGTTGGTGACAGTTGCCTCACCTCTAATCCAATCTTGTCAGCCTTGATATGTCACAAGGTAATCATCTTCACCATATATCAAGTTGACAAGAAGTTCTTTCATAAGACTACCTCCCTCCACCTCTGATCACACCATTCCAGCAACCGGACAGTTGACAGTTAACAGTTGAGCTAAACATTCTTTGTAGGCATGGTTTAGTCTGATGTTAATGGCAAAAATGATAGATGTAAGGAGTGTGTTTCTTGGTGTTTCCCCTTTCTGTGTGTCCCTTTCCTTTTATGTTTCCTTGTACACTTTCTATGAGCCCAAGGTGTCATGCACACATGCTGGCCTAGGTTCACAGCACTGCTGGACAAAATGATGCTCACATTTAGCGCATTTAGAGATTCAGCTTAAAGATTAAAAATATCAATTTCATGAGAAGAAAAAATGATTAAAGAAAATATTTATAGAAAATGTATTACAAAACGGACAACCTATAACAGTTACAAAAACAGGATTAGAAGAGAAAAGTACTTAACAAATTTCACTGTATCTTTGGTAATAGGGTTTGGTAATAGAGTCACGGGTTCTCATAAATGACTCCTGGCAATCCTTCATAGATTTGATGGTGGTGAGAACAGCTGAGCTGTAAATGCAGCAATCTGTTTTGGTCCATAAAGAGGGCATTTAAAGAAGTAACATAACAAATCAAAGGATCATAGGGGTGTGATGAAGAGGTGTTTAAGTATTTTATTATGCTCCAACTGACTCTCCCTCAATGCCAACTTGTCTAGATTTGTACATATATCCATCTGACCATGGTTCCCAAACAGACATCCAACAAATTATTGCAGTAAATGAAATTATAATTTGTCAAACATCAAACTTTAGATAAATCATTTTGCATACATTGCCTGAGATTCAATGCACGCCATCAGCCTACTAAACCTAGTAATATAGTTGTGTTTGGTGTCTAACTAATTAACATTTTCCCATACTTTGTGTTTTTACATTTTATGAATGTATCTCCATTGCAGTAAGAATTGTGGATTATGCGTAGAGTTAATAGCTCATTATCAAAGAAGATAACTTTCCCTTTTGAATCCAAAGCGAGTTTTAATTTTATCTCCAGAATTACAAATTACTCTATGAAACAAGAAAAATACATGTTTACATGTTTACAAATACATATATGAATTACACGATGACTATTTTACCATGTTCCTTGCTTTAAGATCTTGATAACATCTTCTTCTTCTTCAGTTTCATTGTGCTTTTGAAAGTGTAGGTCAGCCAATCTATTTTTCCCCAAGAGACATTAAAGTCTTATCGAATCCTAGGGGGAAATACTGGCAATATATGGTACATGTGCTCGCAGAATGAACAACAAGCATAAGACATCTTTCAGCAGTGCCTTCTTGAAACAGAAAGTATTTTTCATATCATCACTTACATCACAAAACAGAGGTTTATACTTTAATTTATGCCTTGGCCCAACTGTACATCTACAACAAATGGTTTGTAGCACAGATTTATAGGTTATACAGCTATTTTATTCTTTACTCCCTGAAGTTGTTTCAGGCTACTTGGCCATCAATAGTGCCCACTAATCTTGCCGAATTAACCGCTTAATTTATGAATGTGTGATGGAAATTATCATGTGTAAATGACTTCTGTTTTAAGATGTCTCTGCTGTATCCTGTAGTGGATTGATGGAGGGATTTTGATTCCTCGAAGCCTACCCCACTATAACCTGTCTGTTCCCACTTTCTACCTATTGAACACAGGAGCAAACAGAACACGTTTAAACAAAGAATTTGCAAGTGCCTACAAAGGAATTTCAGTCTTCAGTTTTCTTGGCTCACATGTGGTTACATGATGCCTTCCATTAAGGGCCTTCAGCTTTGATTAACAAATAAAATCAAATGAGATCCTGAACTTTTATGCTTTCTTGAGTAAATTTCTACTTCTCTATTATTTATAGTGCTCCCTTGGTCCTAACTAAAGCAAGCCTGTAATGTGTAATACTTACCTAGTACTGAGCTGTTAACACAAAACAGGTACTTTTATGTTCTACATAACATGTCCTTCTGGAGTGTAGGCTCCTTGAGTGCTCACAATGTCTGGGTGCTCTGAAATACACTCACCTCCATAGTCAATTGGGTCAGGAGGCTGGCTCCACCTATTGCCTTCTTAAAATTAACCATATGGCTGATTATTGTAATAATCAGTCTGTAGTGACATTTAGAATATTGTAAAGGGCTGGGCCAGGTATACAATGCAATAGACCCTGGAAGTAGGTATATGTCAGAGCACCTAGGTGTTCTGGCCACTCCTTTATATCTTACAAACAAAATCATTCAGGTCTGCATTAGTTCCTCTTGGCTTGTATTGTATGGATATTTTTAAAAAATACTTATTTATGCAGTGATCTTGAAGGTAATCGGAATATATCTGTAGGGTTCATTCTTGTGCCATGATCAATGGTGGTTTATTTTGATGGTCTGCTGACACAGAAGAACAAGCTTACAAGAAGGCAGGGTTAAATTTGAAAGCTACGTTAATCTAAAATATAAATTGTTTTCATAATATTACTTCTTTACATTATCATTTAGAGTTGATATGATTAATTGTTTCTCCAGGTAAACAGCTAAATGCTTTAATTTTTACTGTTTTACCTGCCAATGGATTTGAAATCTTGGCTAAACAATCTTGTTACTGATTCCTGGGTCAGCTACTTTTGCTCACTGGACAGAGCTTCAGATGGAAACGCGACATATGAAGCTGCACGTTTGAACCAAGAAATAGGTATTGTATATCACCCGTCTCGCTGAGGAGTATGGCTGAGGTGTTTAAAAACAAGATTGGCTAAACCAAATTATGAATCTTTTCTCAAGTAAAACAGTAAATGTATACATATTTTACTGAGTAATTGTTTACCTAAGGAAAATCACTTTTGTCCCCAAAATGAAATGGCATGGCTCGAACTAGAGTTGTCCTTTCTGTTTAATTTGAGTTTGCTACACAATATGTGACTTACATTTACTGTATGTCTTATTCTAGGACGTATGACAGTATATAAAGAATAGTATACCATGGCTACCCTGCACACATAATTGTACTATAATTATAAATAAATAAGATGCTTGGCAGCCTAATAAATTCTAATTTTCCTGTGACATTATACTGGACTTTTAATCTGAACTTGCCACCTACGTGTTATTATGTCATCAGTCTAGGATCAATGAGACATTGGGGTACAGTTCTAAAGATGTTGAAAATGTTGATGATCCTAAGCCATCTGTTTATTATTTATTTATAAATTATCCCCTTTTTCATATGCCAAAATGTTCACCAAATACATTCCATTCATTTTACCATTCCCCTTCTTAAGTAGGTCAGAATCGGGACAGGTGGGAACAGACTCAATATTATTTTATACATCAAGTGGCAACCTAAGTTATTGAGGTAGAAATATGGTTAAAAAGGTTGTATTTTTCTTTCTGCATTAGCTGGCAAACATTTTTTAATAGAAAGGATGTATAATCTACTAACAGAATGAAATGCAATCATCGTAATTGAATTTTGTGTAATAACAAAATATGTGGATCCATGGTGACATGGAAAGGAATGTAGTAATAGAGTCAAATACTAATACGCAGTAAGGTATAATCACACACCAGGTTACTTTTTCTAAGGACACACAGGGAAGTATAATAGCATGCTTACAGTTGTAGAACACAGAGCTTTAATAACAAGCAGCTCAAGGTACCTAGATGTAGAGCAAAATAACTTCATGTATGAGGATATAAAATATAATGTTATGTAATGCAGATATTTCTTTTGCAGTTGGATACCAAAATAAATAGAGATGTAAAGGGAACTCTGTATAGGGGAATACAAATACAAAGATAATGAATGACAGTGATGTGTGCAGAAGGTGATAGACTGTGGAGTTCTTTGTATCTGTCTGTCTCCATGGGGTACTTTTCTAACAATGTCCATTTGATACACTGTTCTCATAGCACACCTCTGGCATGAGTTACCATGGCAACACATCACTCTGAGGATGCTGGGAAAGAAAGTATCAGACCTGTCTAACAAATGCTAAATATTAACCCTGGGATCTCAGAATTACACTGAATTGAGATAGGTGCACTGAAACTTTTGTGCTACATATAGATAACCAGTCCGGAAAGTTTGTTAAATGGATCATCCTGAATAGACTGCAGTTGCCTTGTTCAAAAAAACTATGCAAGGAGCAATGTACAGTTATCCTTAGCAACCAGTTAGGCTAATCATGTAATAGTGTAGATTCAGTGAGTTGAATTCAGAATGTTCTGGATTATTGGCCTTTACCCTTAACCACTTACCTACTGGACACTTTCACCTCCTTCCTGCCCAGGCCAATTTTCAGCTTTCAGTGCTGTCACAGTTTGAATGACAATTGCGCGGTCATGCAACTCTGTACACAAACCACATTTTTATATTTTTTAGAGACAGATAGAGCTTTCTTTTGGTGGTATGTAATTACCACTGGGTTTTTTATTTTTTGCTAAACAAACTAAAAAGACTTTTGAAGAAAACATTTTTCTCTTAGTTTCTGTTATAAATTGTTATAAATAAGTAATTTTTCTCCTTCACTGATGTGCACTAATGAGGCTGCAGTGATGGGCACTGATAAGCAGCACTGATGAGGAGGCACTGATAGGCAACACTGATGGGCATTGACAGGCATCACTGGTGGGCATTGACAGGCATCACTGATGGGCACTGAAAGGCAGCACTCATATATGGCACTGATAGGCGGCACTTACTGGCACTGATACACGGCACTGACTGGCACTGATATGTGGCACTAATTGGAACTGGTAGGTGGCACTGATGGGCCCTGATAGGCTGCACTGATTGGTGGCACTGATGGGCACTGACTGGCACTGAAAGGCAGCTCTGATGGGCACTGATATGTGGCATTGATGTGCACTGATATGTGGCATTGATGTGCACTAATGGAAACTGGTATGTGGCATTGATGGGCACTGACAAGTGGCAATTATGGGAACTGACAGGTGGCACTGATGGGGCTACACTGATAAACAGGGCACTGATGATCAGTGCCCTGATGATCAGTGCCCTGATGATCAGTGTACATGTCTGCTCTGAGGAATGCTGTTTACCGGCTCTCCTCACGCTTTGTCAGCGTGAGGAGAGGGCTGACAATAACCGGAATTTCTTATTTACATGCGATCAGCTGTGATTGGACACAGCTTATCACATGATAGAGCCTACGTCATTGGCTCTTTACTGCGATCGGTGATCCACTGTGTCCCAGGGACACAGCTCATACTGATTGCCGCACGCCCCCCAGGGGCATGCATGCACAGCTAGAGTGGGAGGACGTCTTATGACGTCCTCCCAGAATGAGAGAACTGCTGCCCACCCATCATTTCCATATATGGTGGGAGGGAGGCAGTTAAACAAGCTTGTAAAATGACAGTAAGGCAAAATGCACATAACCAGTCTGGTCCATTAGGGTCAAAGCCCAGCATTTTCAGACACAGGTGCAGTGTCCAGCCCCACTACCAGCAGCCTGTCAAAATCTACAAACTGAAATATTCAGTGGCTGGATGGTGTTCACACTTAGGGTTGGGACCTACATTATGTCCCAAAGGAGGAATTCTAATCATCAGATCATAGATTTTTACAGGCTGCTGGTAGTTGGGCTTGACACTACACCTGTGTCTCCTGGGTATCTGAAAATGCCAGTATTCTTTTGCTGATGGACTAAATCACCCTTGTTCATGAGGCCTAAATGTTTAAATTAATTATTAACCACTTGCCGCCCAGCCACTGTATAAAAATGGTGGCAGGGCGGCACGGCTGGGCAAAAGCACGTTTAAAAACGTGCTGTTTCAAAACAAGTAGGGGGCGCGTGCGAGGCGTGCCGCCACCCTACCTTCACCGTCGATCTCAGCCGCAGGTGTCAGTCGCCGGGTCACAGCCGCTTGTTATCAGCTGTGTCCCGGCGATTTGCGGCAATCAGTGACAGAGAGCAGGGCTGCAGTAACTCTGCTTTCTGTCATTTCCCTGACAGTTCCTGACACGCAGACCAGGAGAAATTAGTTTCTCTGTCCAGATCTGCAGTACACACCTCCGCCCCCTAGTAAAACACTCCCCTCACACAGTTAACCCTTTCAGTGCAAAAAAAAAGTTAATCCCTTCCTCCCCAGTGCCATTAGTACAGTGTCAGTGTTTTTTTTTTGCACTGATCACTGTATTGGTGTCACTGGGGATGTCAGTGATCCCAAGTCAGCTCCCCCCCAGTGTCAGAATGTCCGCCGCCATAAGTTGCTGATCACCGCCATTATTAGTATAAAAAAAAATTTAAAATCCCAGTATCATTTGTAAACGCTATAACTTTCACGTAAACCAATTAATTTACACGTATTGGGTTTTTTTTTTTTTTTTAGCAAAGACATGTCGCAGAATGCATTTGGGCCGAAATTTATGACAAAATTTGATTTTTACATTTTTTTTTACTGGACATGTTTTATAGCAAAAAGTACAAAATATTGTTTTTTTTTCTCAAAATTGTCAGCCTTTTTTTTTTATAGCGCAAAAAATAAAAAACCGCACAGGCGATCAAATACCACCAAAAGAAATCTCTATTTGTGTGAAAAAAAGGACATAAATTTCATTTATGTACCGTATTGCATGACCGCGCAATTGTCCGTATCTATACCATAGTTTGTAGACGCTATAACATTCACAAAAAGCAATCAATATACACTTATTGGGATTTTTTTTACCAAAAACATGTAGCAGAATACATTTTGGCCTAAATTTATAACTAACTTTGAGTTTACTATAAATTTTTTATAGCTGAAAGTAAAAAATATCGCTTTTCTTCAAAATTTTTGGTTTTTTTTTGTTTATTGTGTGAAAAATAAAAAGCGCACAGGTGATTAAATACCACTGAAAGAAAGCTCTATTTGTGTGAAAAAAGGACGTAAATTTTGTTTGGGTGCAGCGTTGCATGACTGCGCAATTATCAGTTGAATTAGTGCAGCGCCGAGTAGCAAAATGAGGCCTGGTCATTAAGCGGAGTAAATCCTCAGGAGGGCAAGTGGTTAATGTCTAGAGATGAGTCAACCATACCTGGGTTCAGTTGCTGCTGCTGTCCCCTGCTGACTCTAAGCCTGAGAACTGAGCAATCACATGACCTCCGATCGCTCTGTTCTCAGTCTGTTCGGAGCGGAGAGAGGTGACTGTCAGCACTCTCTGCTCTGCCTTTCCAGTGGTAACTGGATCGTGAGCAGGGGAGGGGGGCTGGAGCAGCTGGCTGCTGCTCTCAGAGGCACATTGAGAGGCTGAGCCTGCTGCTGATCCTGACAATATGATCAGGATCGTTCCAGAGCCTGGAACAACTTTGTAACATCAGCTAACAGTGGGCTTTAGCTGCTGTCGCCTGATCCTGGGTGAAAAAAAGTGCATTCTTGTGACCTAGAAGAGAAGCATGGCCAAAATGATTGACCATACTACTTCTCTTTGAAGTTGGGGTACTTAATATGAACTTCATTGAAGTCCATGGAAGCAGAATGTAAAGAAAAACAGTAATGGACATTTTCTAATTGCTAATAGGAAAGGGATTGTCAAACAAATGACAAAGGAAGCTGAACACTGCCAGGAGAACATGTACCGAAGCAAAAAATCTTTACAATTCCATTTGTGGGTATCACAACTTTAACATAGATTAAGGGGCAATATTAGAAATAATGAATTTCTTTAAATAATATACTCATATGATGCCCTTAACCTCTCTGTGAATCGGCACCTCTATTCAGTCCATACAGCTTGCTGCAGCAAAATTAACACTTACAAAAATGCAATCTAAATTGCCAGTAAATGACACCTCCCTGTTTCTTCTTTTTGTAATTCAAGCAGATGGGTATTTATATTATTATACCAGATCCTAGATTAGGGTATGGTAAAGATATTAAAAGGGGACTCCACATGCCAAAAAAGGGGGCGCTGTGCTCTCAAATTCTATACACTTATTTGAGCATGCAGCCTGGCATACCAGGATAGGGAGGGACAATCATGCAACCCCCTTCTGATCCATAACTGAAAACATGCCTTAAATCTAGTGGCATCCTTGCTAGGGGTCCATCAATTCTTCCCCATGTTGATTAGGACAACAGTGGCCTTATTCCCACAACCCTGACCTTGTGGTTGTGGGGATCTGCATGCAGGGGTGCTGACATTGGCCCCCCTACCCCCCACTATTGTGAATGAGCAAGGGATACTGCCCCTACTTATTCACAAAAAAAATATAAATAGCAAATAAAGACACCTGCTTTCTGACAAATCAACTATAATGATGCCCTCAAATTCACCGAAAAAACTCACTCAACTGCCAGACACGGTTGATCCCATTGCTACACTCTCTGCAAATGACTGCTACAATCTCAAAATGTAAACAAAGAAGCGGGGTATACCCAATAATGGCACTGACCAAATATGGTCAAATTTGGTCAATGTCATTGACCACATATGACCATGTGGCCATATGCCTTCCTTTTTTTGACACGACTGAGGATTCCCAGCCAGCATATGATTTAGGCTAGGTGACATCACTGGTTGCTAAGGACAACCACTGACAGTGCAAGAAGAAAGCTGTCATATATACAGTAGTAGCAGTAGAAACAATGCTACTGTATACAATGTTTAGCTCTTGCTAAGAGTCTGATGTCCAGAGGAACTCCCAAACAAGCAAAGTTCGGTCTGATCCTGTGTTTAGACCAAACTGAGAGCTTTTTTATTAAAAAATATATGAAACATATTTTTAAAAATACATCTTTTTTAAAAATATATTCTTCAGATTTTTTTTAACATATAAAAAAGTAATTTCAACATACATATTTACATATATTTGCAAATGCATTCCAAAAATGTAGAATTGTATTTTAAAGACATACAGTATATTTGAAATGTATTTGTAAAATATTTTTCATATATTTTGTAATAAAAACGCATTTTAACATACAGTATATTTTTAAAATAGATTTCAAATATATTTTTCTTCCATGTGGGATATACCATCGATTGTAGATGTTATAACATTCACACATTTTGGCCTAGATTTATGAAGAAATGTAATTATTTGCATTTTTTATTGGATGTATTTTATAGCAGAAAGAAAAAAATATTGTTTTGTTTTCAAAATGTTTGGTCATTTTCCATTTATATAATAAAAAACCCAGTGGTGCTCAAATACTACTACATGAAAACTCTATGCGTGTGCAAAAAATTATAAAAATGTCAGTGTTGCATGACTGGTCAATTGCCAGTTATGGTAGTGCAAAGTCAAATAGTAAAAAATGCCCTGGTCATGAAGGGGATAAAACCTTCCAGAGCTTAAGTGGTTTATGAATGCAACACAATCTGAAAAATCTAAATATTTTGTACATTCAATGTGTTGTGTAAATTAAGTGGTAAACATCTTAGTTAAATCTCATTTAATTCCCTGTTTTCCACTTTGTGGAATAGTCTAAGACAATTGAATGCATCTGTAAAGCACCATATGTGGACAGTTCAGTTACAGTGCTTATTGCATATCTTATTCAGTAGATGAAGATCTGTTTTGGGTTGGAGTTAGGCTACAGCCGTGATTGTTGCATACAGATTCCTTTGTGGTGTAAGGTGAACTTAAAATATGCAACATTTGCTCAGTCTCACCATTTTTAGCTGTTCCTTAGTTAATATAGTAAAACTGGAGGGAAAAAAACTGATTTACTTTATTATACAATAAATGTATTTCTATACATTTCACTAAAGAAATCTTCTTACTGAGACAACATCTTTGCTGTGTAAGGTTCATGAATAGTTTAAAGGTTTGGTTACTATTTGCACCATACAGCATATTCACATAACAGAGTCAGTTATTTTTTTTAATGTCAGATCACAGAAAAAATATAAATTGAAAATGTAAAGTAGCCTCAAAATTTATGGCTACAGAGATGGCACAGTAAGAAGTACATAATTTATAGCTAATGTAAAGCCGTATTTATTTAGTTTTGCGTAGAGTGGGAACTTTTAAAAACCCCTGTCAAGGTGTTATTGCTGTCTGTGTACCAGGGGCGGACTGACCATTTGGAAACTCGGGCACTGCCTGAGGGCCCAGGGTCAGTAGGGGGCCCCATGAGATGCCCCTGGTACCATTTTCATAGGCTTTTTTGAGTTTGGGCAAGGACACAGGGGCCCCATGATCCCCTATTGCCTGGGGGCCCCATGAGTTGTCAGCCCGCCCCTGCTGTGTACCCATCCTCTCTACTTTTCCTTGTGA